TTGACAATATTGTCTTTAGCTTAATTGATATTTTACAAAAGAAAGGAAGAAAAATAAACATATGATTAAAATCGAAATTATTCATGATGGAGGAGATATTTTAAAGTGCTGTGATGTGTAGGTAAAAAATTTACAAATTAGAAGGTGGCAGCATACCTATGGATGAGAGCAGAGAGGAGTCAGTCAGCAATCAGGGTAAAAAAGGCCTTTCCAGGTCCTCATGTGTCCTATATATCAGTAATCAGGGTTGTATATGAAAGGTAAATGCCAAACTTAACCACAAGGGTCCTGTAGGGTTTGTAATAATCAGCAATGTGGAGGAAATCATGTTTGAATTGCTCCCTCTGCTTCCCAAGTGGATATTGGCTGCTGTGCTACGGGAATGTGCAAAAGTCGTGACATAATAAAAAACTGATTACTGAGCTGAAGGCAGACGCTAGGGTGTTTTTTTCATTTTATTCTTTATGATCTCGCTATAGTTTATGACAATTTAGATCAATGTTGAATGGCTTTCATTTGATCAGCTTAGTCCTGTGCCGCTTTCTGCACTTCTTCCTTTCCCATAAGTACCTCTAAGCCAGTGTCTTCTCAGCATTTTTGTTTTTATTCTGTCTTCATTCACAACGCTTCAATTACATTCAGTGCAGGTGTGCCTAAAGCTAAGCATTACTCTTCGGACAGCTTTGGAAATAGTCAGTGAAGAAGCATCTGGATATTTTTGACACGTTTTAGCTAAGTGAATACAGTGTAATGTTAGTTTTTTTGATCATAGCTTTGTCAATCTTTGCTTCAAGACCTTTATTATAAGGTTCAGCTATTTTTAGACAAAAATCCTATGTTGGCTCTTTAACAAGGAAAAAGTAGGTGAATTCATCGAAATACTTCCCGAGTACATTAAATCCAGCTGGTTTTACAACATGCAACTGAACACAGTTAGAGAGGGAGTGACGTCCTTAAACTATCAGTTTAATGGAACTGTGCTCTGATTGATCCATTAAATGTGTTCTGTACTTCACTAAAGTCACTGCTTAAAAACAAGTATTAATTTGTTTATGTTTTAAATGAAGTTATAATTACAGAATATGTTCTGCCCTTAAAACTTTTGCTCTTCTCACAGGGTGCAGTTGGGAAGCTGTGGAGTTGTTTGCATCTCCTTTAATCTGTTTTGAAATCTGAAATCATAAATAATTTGTTTTCTTTTAGCCTCAATTTCTCCACCAAACTTTAAGTCCTTGTTCTCTAATCAGCACCTTCTTCGGATCTTAATTGCTTAACTGCCACTGTATTTTAGAGATGCATAAATTTGAGTTTAATAGCAGTATCCTGATATTTAAGTATACTATTTAAATGTGCTAAAAAAAAAGAAGAAAAAAAAATGGTCCTGGTAGTTTTCTGCCACATCCATTTTTTTTTTTTTTTTTTTACGAATTTGCTAAATGTTGCTCTGATGTAAATGACTCTAAAATGTTGCCCATTATCATCAGTGGAGTTGGCAGAACTTTCTTACCTAAATGTCTCTGATAAATATGGTTGAAAGATACCGGGGGGGAAAAATCTAATCACGGGAAATTCCTTTAAATAAATACAGTAAGGTGGTTTATAAGGTGAATTTATGGAAATTGCTTACAATGCTGTCCACCTACTTTCAAAGACTAAAATATAAAGGTTACTAGAGCCTAAAGAATAATCTTTTATATATATATATATATTTATTTATTTTATTTTTTTTTGTTACACACAGAACAGAGCACATATTGACAAATATTTATCACAGTCATTGATATAGTGTGACAATACAGTGCATGGGAGGCATTCAGGTTTTGCAATACAGGAGTCAGTCTTTTTCTGTTATGTAGGAGAGTAGAGGATCCCAGGTCTTCACATATTTACCACAACATGGACAAAATGTGAGTATTTCATTTCTTCTCCAGGCTAAACATGTTCCCCATTTCCCTTAGCCACATCTCGTAGCTTGGTGCAAAGTCACTTTTCCACATCTGTGGAATCATTTTCTTATCCACAACCTTCCACAAAGAGACAGCTTGAGCCTCAAATGTATTAGCCAAAAGCAGAGACCCTGTCCCTCCCAAGATGTCAACCAGTGGGTCTGGTTTAAATGTCTTCTTGAAGGCTTTATGAAGTCATTGAAAAATATCATACGAATAAGATGATAACACAAGACCAAAGAGTATGAGCAAGTATTGTGAAGAAAAATCTTTAAAAAACTGTAGATCAGGTATCACTGAAATTGGCCTGATCCATAGACGCTGGTCTATTCAGTCTTTTTCTATATCAGATTTAATTTAGGTAAAAAATCTCTTGAACAGCTGTACATTTTACCCTCCTTATAGGATTCGTCTTAGATTTAAAAAACATAGTCAATTTGAACCTATAGGGTTGTATTTTTTTTTCTTTTAGGTTGGAAGTTGCCCTGTAAACACAGGTTACTGTGTTAATGACTTCCTTTTCTGATCTTTTGCTAATCTCCAGCTGTCTTTTGGGATATACATGGATACATTCATAAATATCATACTTGATTGCAGAGAGCGAGGAGATTACTACAGCATTTTAAGCAAATCAAAAGAAATGCTGATTACATTGAAGCAATCAGAGCTCTGGCAGCCTATTGGAGAGGTAATAGGATCCACAGTTCCAAATTAAAGTGTTGGAATCAGATCGTAAGTGAAAACTGTGGATATGTTTAATCCCTACTTTTATCAGGTATACCTTGTACAAATCATGTCAGACCCTTGTTTGTTATGATTTTCATTAACGAACTCTATCCATCTCCTGCTTTTGCATTTGAATTTTCTTATCTTCACATTCTGACAGGATTTCCAGCCAGGTTTCAGGTTTTCTGACCTCCTTTGGCTTCTAAAACTTTAACTGACTCGATTAAAAAAGCAATAAATGTAGTGTACAATGGGACCTAAACTCAGCAGCTGAGCAGTGAACAGAAACAGTACAGCTTTTCTATGATGAATATGTTAACAACTATATAAAACTTGAGATATTTATTATTTCTGACTCCCAGTTTGATCAGCTAAGTTCACTCTCTACACTGTCACCCCAACATTCCCTGCTCTGCGTCTTGCTGCTTTGATTTACTCAGAGACAGTCAGCAGAGCCATCAGACACATTCGCTGTGGGAGCGCTGCCACTGAGCACTTTCTAATCTCTTACTCGTCATAAAAAGGTTAGAGGGCCATGGATGCATCACTGAAACGCACAAATTCCCTCCTATTTTTATTTGTTGTGGGAGGCTGTTTTTAGAAATGATGCAAGCGAGTGTGAGAAGCCGCAGCTCCAGCCTGAACACTGCAGAGATTTAATTACCCGATCAGGTCAATCCCTGAACATCAAATAAAGCAATTGTACTGTGATTTATTATTTCACTTTGGATTAAAACTCTTCAAAGTGTGAAAAATCACTTCAGAGTTTTAGCTAATAGCTGACAAATGAGCTCTTTAGTAGTTTTGTGCTGTGAAGCAATATCAGCTCTGCCTTTCGTCTCCTGTTAGTGAAGCTGAAATAGTATTTCTCAGTGATGGATGGCGACTGGTGTTTCACATCCAGAAACAATCTGCAGAGGCCTGGTTTGCAGAGACTGTCAGCTTCAGCCGGTGTGGCTGATCGCAGCACTGGCAGGCTGCATGCCAGGCCCAGCGGCTGCAGATTAAAGCTGGAGGCGGTTCGTTCTGTTTACAGCTCAGATTAGCACCAATCTGTTCCACCATCCCACAGCTGTCACCCCACAAACTCCAGAGTAGACAGAAAAATGAGACTGGGACCCAGGAACTGGCTGTAACACAACACCCAGTCTGTCTGAGGGAGATTTGTGTTCAGCCGTAATCAAACTGAATGTTTCTCATTGTTTGAAGGACTGGCCTTTTTACACTTATTGTTTGTTTGGTAATTTGTTGTAGCGGATGCATGAGGATTTCTTGAACCAGCTATGGCTGATGCTCTGAGAAATGTTTAATCACCTAAAAGACATGTCTGCACCAATTACCCTGCTTTTTAAAAGAAACCTCTGCTCCGTTTCTGTTAGAAAATGCACTATAAGGCATCCAAGAAAACAGTCATGTAGTCTGTTTTTACTCTGCAATATGTCTATGGCGTAAAACCCTCTGAAATTACCTCCTAACATATTTGTTGCATTTAAACTGAATGAAATACCTCAGCAATCCTCTATTGCTTTTCTGAGACCAAGTCTTTGTTGGCAGCAACCTTCCCTGACAGTTATATTTATTGGTAGTTCAGTCTTTTATGAATGCTTTTGCTTTGCTGGACAAAGGTACTGAGTGTTGGTCTGTGGAAGAATGTCTGCATTTGAATGAAAGTTAATAGACACCATTTGTGCTGCTCACAAGGGAAGCTACAAAAACCTTGTGCAATGTTATCGTAGTAAAACCTCTTCACTGCCTGGAGGTAGCTGAATGAATAACTGAACATAGTTGTAAAGACAGAGAGCAAAACGTTATACTGGGATAGAAAAGATCAACATTGCTCTCTTCATCCTCTGACATGGGAGTTGGCTCGGAGCTTGTCTACCTGGCTGTGTTTCCTGGACGGGGCCGCCTTTTATAGCTGCTTTTTTTTAAATCTCTGCTTCTGTCTCCTTGAACCCCAGTCGGCCTCGGCAGATGGCCGCTCACACTGAGCCTGGTTCTGCTGGAGGTTTCTTCCTGTTAAAAGGGAGTTTTTCCTCTCCACTGTCGCTACAAGCATGCTTAGTGTGAGGGATTGCATTCGCGAGTCAATGATTCGATGCAATCAACTGGTTTTCCTTAGATAGAAAACTGAATCAATTTGACTGGATGATCTGGTTTAACTGTAACGTGGAATTGGCGCTATATAAATTAAATGAATTGAAATTGATTTGAATGGCTATGTTTCACATTGACTCCGTCCTATTTGTGGTCACAGAAGTTTTGCTCCCATTAGAATATTTTTCATGTGCACGGTTTGATAACATTGCGACCTCTGGTCTACTGCAGGTCCTGCCCTCGCAGTTGGTGTGGACGTCCAGGTAGAGAGCTTAGACAGCATCTCTGAAGTCGACATGGTAAGGAACCTTTGAACATCTAATGGGTTGTTTTCCAGATTATACAGATTATTAGTAATGTTTCAGCATATGGATTTTGATGGATGGATTTAAAAAATGTATAAATAATAAAGGAGAAATAAGTTAGAACTTAAAGACTTTGATTTTAGAGTACTTGATCTCCACCATGGTCCCTAATGATAGCTGTAATCCCACCAGGACTTCACCATGACGCTGTACCTCAGACATTATTGGAAGGACGAGCGTCTGTCCTTCTCTAGTAGCACCAACAAGAGTATGACCTTCGACGGGCGCCTGGTGAAGAAGATCTGGGTCCCTGACGTCTTCTTCGTCCACTCTAAGAGGTCCTTCATCCACGATACGACAACGGACAACATTATGCTGCGTGTCTTTCCTGATGGACAAGTCCTCTACAGTCTAAGGTCAGCAATGCTTTAATTCAATGATCATAAAGAAGAGCCGTTAAGAATAAGCTCAGTTTTTGCAGACTTTCAGCCTCTATTAGAATTAGATCCATTTTCACTTCACACAGATTAAAGGCTAAATCATAAGCATCCGATTGGAGTTCTCAAAAACTAATATCCTGCAGCATTTAATTCAATTTAATTCAGTTTATTTATATAGTGCCAATTCACAACACATGTCATCTCAAGGCACTTTAAAGTTCACCAGATCATACAGTCAAATTGATTAAAAGTTGTCTATCAAAGGAAAACCCTGCTCTAATAAAGCTGTATCAAATAAATTAATCATTTGTAAGGCATTTGATAAATTTGATTGCATTCCAAAGAGGTCATTCAATCATTTGATTCAGATATCTTAGAGCAGAGATGAATATAAAAGTTGCAGGCTGGGAGCCCCTTGTGGACTGCCATTGGAGACCTCTCAGTATGGCGAGTACACAGACTCAATTTGCTCAAGCCTCTTTAATACTGGGTGTTTTTAAGCTGTGTAAACCTGTTTTTAAGTAGGTCTGCATATTTTTACATGTAAAACATGATTTTTAAACTCTGATAACATTCTGAAAGTAACATCAAGTATTTGCAAATGTGTGCTCGAAATATATATTTAAAAAACACATGTATCAGATTACATCTCACAGGAAGGGTTTGGACAGGGTTTCACACTGCCAGGAGCCCTGTAGATTTGTGAGTACATGATGCGTTTAAATTCTGGGACATTTGAATTTCCTTTTGCAGTTCAATGTTTTTCCTTCTATACTTGTGCTGAAGTAGCATAAAAGTATTTTGTTGTGAAAAGAATATCTTTGTGCTACATGCAACACATCGCTGTCCCTGCAAATAATGGCTTGCTCTGCAATTTGCAATTTCCTCTCTAAGATAAGTGGTTTCTGCCATCCTTCCATCCATTTTCTGTCATGCTTATCCTGGCTGGGGTTGCGAGGGGTGCTGGTGCCCATGTCCAGCTGTCAATGGGCGAGAGGCAGGGTCACACCCTGGACAGTTTGCCAGTCTATCACAGGGCAGCACAGAGACACAGAGGACAAACAATCTGTCACGCACACACTCACATATGAGAATTTAGAGAAGCCAATTAACCCAACAGTCATATTTTTGGACTGTGGGAGGAAGCCAGACTACCCTGAGAGGACCCATGCATGCACAGGGAGAACATGCACACTCCATGCAGAAAGGCCGCGGGTCAGGAATCGAACCCAGAACCATCTTGCTGCAAGGCTGCAGTGCTACCCACTGCATCACTATGCAGCCCGGTTTCTGCCAACATCTTTAACTTTTTTTTTTTTATGCAAAGATGACATCTTGCACATGTAAACATGGCTCCTGCTGCATTTTTTTTCCTGTGTAAGAAAACAATGTCTGCAAACAGAATGTTTAATCTTAGCATCCAATCTCTATTTATGTTGGTAAGTAGGTTGTATTTCAGGGCTTCTTGGTTATTTGTCTATAAAATGCTTGTATTATCGGGTAACGGCCTAGTGGTCAGGGCATAGGGCTTTGAATCCTCCGGGTTGTTAGTTTGAAACCCACTCCCACAGACTGCCACTCTGGGTCTAAAGGGAACGAATTAAATGAAGAGTTCCAATCTCCATTGTTAGATGATTAAAGTTCAATTTATTTTATTTTTTTATTTTCTAAAATCTGTACTATGTCTAGTTCTTCCTCATGCCCAGAGTGGAATTTATTTTATTATTGTAACTTTCATCGGAATTCACAATGGTTTTACTTCTTCCAAGGCCATAGATAGAAGAGAAATAATAACATTTTTCTTTTTTTCTTTTGCAGAACCAATATTTATTAAGCCACTTTAGTATTCTTTTACATGCTTTATATTGTTCTATTTTGACAGCAGAGTTGCATTTTATTAGAGGCAAATCCCTCTTTTATGCTTTTGGTTCACTTCTAATTACAAATCTATTAATGCCCACATTCTGCACTCCCACCAGCTGAGTGCTTTCCTCTTAGTCCCTGGGTTGTAGAAAGGGGAAGTCTGCTCATTGTTCTGGATGATGGAGCTGAAACATTAAGGGACCTTATTTGTACTTTTGCTGGATTTTTTAACTATATCACTGCAGTACAAAAAAATAAATAAAAAATCAATAAGCATTTTACAAATAAAAATAGCACCAAAGTAGTATAAGTAATAATTGTTGCAGCATTTCATTGTAAAGGAAGCCATTATGATGATGATGATGATGATGATGATGATGGCTTTAACTGTTCAAGGCTTTAGGTAGGTTGAATAGGTTTTACTTCAGCTATCACAATAGAAAAAATAGTTGTGCTGCGTAATGTTTTCACACGTCTGAAAGTGACTATTTCCTTTTTTTACATATCTTCTTTCTTTACACTTATCCAGGTACTTACAAATAATTACCTAATAAAATACATTTTTCCCTTTTTTATCTTTTGTTTCTTTTAAAATACTGTCTGCTTTTCCAGTCATTTGATACAGCCGTGTTAGAGCAGGGATGGAAGTCTGCAAACTTTTGATGTTTGCACCTTATTTAAACAGTGACAGTGAGTTACAGAATGGTAATAAAGACTTTAAATCGAAATGTGCATTACATTACATAACATTGATTAATTGGAGTCATTAGAATACTGTCTAGTATACCTACTTAACTTCAACGGTAATTACTAATGATAGGTGATAGCAATAACATTGATTCAATTCAGTTCATATATATAGTGACAGCACATGGCATTGTGCAGAGACAATTTCATATAAATCATGGAGACAGATTGATTAAAAAAAATATCTCAGGAAACCAAACTGATAGCATCAAGTCATTGACTTTGCAGGATTTGCTCCTTCGGGATGAATATGTAGGGATTGTAGAAATTCTAATTTTGACAGCAATCCTTCACACCAACCTTGCATGCAGCGACACTGGAAAGGAAAATTTCCCTCCCTTTTTTAAGCATGCATCTGCAAGGCTCCAGGGTGAAATGAATCTCCAAACCCCTCTTAAAGTTTTTATCTGTTCTGTGTGCGTAACTCCAGTTTTTTCTGTTTATATCCAGCGAAGAAGTAATGCTTTGTGTGTATTTTTTCCCTGCAATTTTAGAATATTTGTATATGCATTTGAGCACACATTTGCAATTACCTAAAGTTACTCATAGAATATTTTTTTAGTTTTCAAAACCAAGGTTTGCACATTTAAATAAGCAGAGTTACAGTACATAAAAACAGCTTTACACAGCTTGCAAATCCAGTACTATATAGCTGTAGGTAACTTGAGTCTTTCTTCTCTCCATGCCTGAGCAAATTTTTTAAATCCCAGTCTGCATCTTTAATATATTATTGTATCAGTGGATTGCTGCATTTTTCACATACAAATTTAAAGTTATCTCATGCTTTTATACTTTTAATTTAAACATGTTTTAACTGCACACCCATATCAATTAAAAAAAAAAAAAAAAAAACAGTGAGGTTTTGACTAAAATAAAAGTCATTGAGTCTGTTCTAAGAGATGTACAGCTCCACTTCTCAAGCATTTCAAGTATTTACTATATTAGCTGACCAACTTTCACTCATGTTAATTTAAGAGTTGCACTGCGCTACTATTAGAGAGAGACAGCCTGACCACATGATGTTCACAGCAGATAACAAGATTCTGTTTTAAACTGAAAGATTGCCTTTATTCATCATGCAGATAAGTGAATATTTATCCAGACATATTACAGTCGACACAACACTACTGCTGATTTATTTATTTAATTCAGGTTCTTTTGCAGTCCTCTGGTATAAATCATGTCACCTCTCCACAACACAGCTTTTCTCTGCTTTAGCAGTTTACCTTAGAGACATTTTTAATCATTAGATTGGAATTAGCCTTGATTGTTCTACATTGGGGAAATCATTTTTATAATTTCCTGCAATTTTACTACAGTAGCTTCGAAGTGAAGATACTTCTTACATGCTGGACTGTTGCTGTTCATTTAGAGTATTTCATTTTCTCAGTTTAGTGTGCTAAATGAATATTTTTTTCTTTTTATACATACATTTTTCAATTTTTACGAGACTTTAAATATTGCACAATCTCTTTATTAAATATTTAATTTATTGTAAGGTATGTTTGTATGGACCTGGTTTTCCTCCGAAATGTAAAAAATGTTACATTGAAAAAATATTTCAAATAGAAAAAATCTACTCAATAACCTTTTTTTTTGTAAATACTTTTTTTTCAGGTGTGTAGATTTATTTAACTACTTTTGCATTGCAAGGCTGTGGTTAGAACTTTAAAATGTGTTTCGAATCACTTCTGAATCCTACAGCTTATGATGCATAAAATAACAGCGAGACTCCTGATCCAAAACAACAATCAATACTAAAAAAACATTAACAGCTAATTTATTTCTTTATTTTTTATGGTTTCTATCAGACTGTCATTATAAAATATGCAATTTGAATTTACTTTAGTTTGAGAAAAGTAATTTAGACTTACTCTTTTTAAGGTAGAACCATCTATGGCATCACAAATCAACCCTTAGACAAAACCTTTCTGAATTCTCAATATAATATAAGCCTAATTTTGACTTTTAGTCTGGATTGAAACTTTTCTACATATAATTGCTGGTATCCAGCATCATACATCAGTCATATCTTACCATGATGTTTTGCAGTCTGTGGAACTTTTTAAAGTTCAGAATAAATATTTTCACTTCAGAATATTTTATTACAAATTTCCCAAATTTGCACCTGGTTGGATTTAGGGTCCCAGAAAAGCCTTCATGACCAATCAGAATGAGGCTTGATTGCAGGAAATTGGGAAAAGCTCTGCTAGTTTAAAGGCAATCATGATGCTGCCACACTTTTAGTAATCATGGAAAAAGCTGTTTTCTAGCTGTGCTCTCTCATCATATCAGACAGAAATTATGATAAATTTGACGATGTCTGCATTAACATAGAAGTTCAACGTACTGCAAAACTGAAAATA